TGCGATTTCTGCAATTTTTAAAATTTTCATGAATTTTTGCGATTTTTGCAATTATCAGGAATTTTTGCAATTTTTGCAATTTTCAGGAATTTTCGCGATTTTTGCAATTTTCAGGAATTTTTGCAATTTTCAGGAATCTTTGCGATTTTTGCATTTTAGCGATTTTTTCAATTTCCAGAAATTTCTGTAATTTCCAGGAATTTTTGCAATTTCTGCTATTCTTGCAATTTTTAGGAATTTTCAGGAATTTTTGCAATTTTTGCAATTTTCAGGCTTTTTCGCGAATTCTGCAATTTTCAGGAATTTTTGCAATTTTCAGGCTTTTTTGCGATTTTTGCATTTTCAGGAATTTTTGCAATTTTTGCAATTTCCAGGAATTTTTTCAATTTTCAGGAATTTTTGCAATTTTCAGGAATTTTTGCGATTTTTGCAATTTTCAGGAATTTTTGCGATTTTTTCAATTTTCAGGAATTTTTTCAATTTTCAGGAATTTTTGCCATTTTCAGGAATTTTTGCGATTTTAGCTTTTTCTGCAATTTTCAGGCATTTTTGAAATTCTTGCAATTTTCAGGCTTTTTTGCGATTTTTGCAATTTTCAGGAATTTTTGCAATTTTTGCAATTTTCAGGAATTTTTGTGATTTTTGCAATTTTCAGGAATTTTAGCGATTTTTGCAATTTTCAGGAATTTTTGCGATTTTTGCAATTTCCGGGAATTTTTTCAATCTTCAGGAATTTTGCAATTTTCAGGAATTTTTGCAATTTTTGCAATTTCCAGGAACCTTTGCAATTTTCAGGCTTTTTTGCGATTTTTGCAATTTTCAGGCATTTTTGCGATTTTTGCAATTTTCAGGCATTTTTGCAATTTTCAGGAATTTTGCGATTTTTGCAATTTTCAGGGATTTTTGCGATTTTTGCTATTTCTGCAATTTTCATGCATTTTTGAAATTTTTGCAATTCTCAGGCTTTTTTGCGATTTTTGCAATTTTCAGGAATTTCTTCAATTTTCAGGAATTTTTTTCAAATTTTCAGGAATTTTTGCATTTTTCAGGATTTTTGCAATTTTCAGGAACTTTGCGATTTTTGCAATTTTCAGGAATTTTTGCGATTTTTGCAATTTTCAGGAATTTTTGCAATTTTTGCAATTTTCAGGAATTTTTGCAATTTTTGCAATTTTCAGGCATTTTTGCGATTTCTGCAATTTTCAGGAATTTTTGCAATTTTTGCAATTTTCAGTCATTTTTGCAATTTTTGCAATTTTCAGGCATTTTTGCGATTTCTGCAATTTTCAGGAATTTTTGCAATTTTTGCAATTTTCAGGCTTTTTTGCGATTTTTGCAATTTTCAGGAATTTTTTCAATTTTCAGGAATTTTTGCAAATTTCAGGAATTTTTTCAAATTTTCAGGAATTTTTGCATTTTCCAGGAATTTTTGTAATTTTCAGGAACTTTTGCGATTTTTGCAATTTTCAGTAATTTTTGCGATTTTTGCAATTTTCAGGAATTTTTGCAATTTTCAGGAATTTTTGCAGTTTTTGCAATTTTCAGGAATTTTTGCAATTTTTGCAATTTTCAGGCATTTTTGCGATTTCTGCAATTTTCAGGCATTTTTGCAATTTTTGCAATTTTCAGGCTTTGCGATTTTTGCAATTTTCAGGAATTTTTTCAATTTTCAGGAATTTTTGCAATTTTCAGGAATTTTTGCATTTTTCAGGAATTTTTGCAATTTTTGCAATTTTCAGGAATTTTTGCAATTTTCAGGAATTTTTGCAATTTTCAGGAATTTTTGCAATTTTTGCAATTTTCAGGAATTTTTGCAATTTTTGCAATTTTCAGGCATTTTTGCGATTTCTGCAATTTTCAGGCATTTTTGCAATTTTCAGGAATTTTTTCAATTTTCAGGAATTTTTGCAAATTTCAGGAATTTTTGCAATTTTCAGGAATTTTTGCGATTTCTGCAATTTTCAGGAATTTTTGCGATTTTTGCAATTTTCAGGAATTTTTTCAATTTTCAGGAATTTTTGCAATTTTCAGGAATTTTTGCAATTTTCAGGAATTTTTGCAATTTTCAGGAATTCTTGCGATTTTTGCAATTTTTACAATTTTCATGAATTTTTGCAATTTTTGAAATTTTCAGGAATTTTTGCGATTTTTGCAATTTTTACAATTTTCATGAATTTTTGCGATTTTTGCAATTTTCAGGAATTTTTGCAATTTTTGCAATTTTCAGGAATTTTCGCGATTATTGCAATTTTCAGGAATTTTTGCAATTTTCAGGAATTTCTGCAATTTTTGCTATTTCTGCAATTTTCAGGAATTCTCAGGAATTTTTGCAATTTTTGCAATTTTCAGAAATTTTTGCAATTTTTGCAATTTTCAGTCTTCTTTGCGATTTTTGCAATTTTCAGGAATTTTTGCAATTTTTGCAATTTTCAGGAATTTTTGCGAATTTCTGCAATTTTTAGGCATTTTTTGAAATTTTTGCAATTTTCAGGCTTTTTTTCGATTTTTGCAATTTTCAGGAGTTTTTGCAATTTTCAGGAATTTTTGAAATTTTCAGGAATTTTTGCAATTTTCAGGAATTTTTGCAATTCTCAGGAATTTTTGCAATTTTCAGGAATTTTCGCGATTTTCGCAATTTTCAGGAATTTTTGCGATTTTTGCAATTTTCAGGAATTTTTGCGATTTTTGCAATTTTCAGGAATTTTTTCAATCTTCAGGAATTTTTGCAATTTTCAGGAATTTTTGCAAATTTCAGGAATTTTCGCAATTTTCAGGAATTTTTGCGATTTTTGCAATTTTCAGGCATTTTTGCGATTTTTGCAATTTTAATGAATATTTGCGATTTTCGCAATTTTCAGGAATTTTTGCGATTTCTGCAATTTTCAGGAATTTCTGCGATTATTGCAATTTTCAGGAATTTTTTCAATTTTCAGGAATTTTTGCAATGTTCAGGAATTTTTGCAATATTCAGGTATTTTTGCGATTTTTGCAATTTTTACAATTTTCATGAATTTTTGCGATTTTTGCAATTTTCAGGAATTTTTGCAATTTTTGCTATTTTTGCAATTTTCAGGCATTTTTGCGATTTTTGCAATTTTCAGGAATTTTTGCGATTTTTGCAATTTTCAGGAATTTTTGCGATTTTTGCAATTTTTACAATTTTCATGAATTTTTGCGATTTTTGCAATTTTCAGGAATTTTAGCAATTTTTGCTATTTTTGCAATTTTCAGGCATTTTTGCAATTTTCAGGAATTTTTGCGATTTTTGCAATTTTTACAATTTTCAGGAATTTTTGCAATTTTTGCTATTTTTGCAATTTTCAGGCATTTTTGCGATTTTTGCAATTTTCAGGAATTTTTGCGATTTTAGCAATTTTTACAATTTTCATGAATTTTTGCGATTTTTGAAATTTTCAGGAATTTTTGCGATTTTTGCATTTTTCAGCCTTTTTTGCGATTTTTGCAATTTTCAGGAATTTTTTAAATTTTCAGGAATTTTTGCAATTTTCAGGAATTTTTGCAATTTCCAGGCATTTTTGCAATTTTCAGGAATTTTTGCAATTTTTGCAATTTTCAGGCTTTTTTGCGATTATTGCAATTTTCAGGCATTTTTGCGTTTTTTGAAATTTTCAGGAATTTTTGCGATTTTTGCAATTTTCAGGAATTTTTGCGATTTTTGCAATTTTCAGGAATTTTTGCATTTTTCAGGAATTTTTGCAATTTTTGCTATTTCTGCAATTTTCAGAAATTTTTATAATTCTCAGGAATTTTTGCAAAAATGCCTGAAAATTGCAAAAATTCCTGAAAATTGCAAAAATTGCGAAAACTCCTGAAGATAAGAAAAAAAATGCAAAAATCGCAGAAATGCCTGAAAATTGCAAAAATTGCAAAAACTCCTGAAAATTGCAGAAGTCGCAAATTAATGAAAATTATAAAAATTGCAAAAATTTCTAAAAATGCAAAAATTGTAGAAATTCCTGGAAATTGCCAAAATTCCTGAAAATTGCAAATATTGCAAAAATTCCTGAAAATTGCAAAAAGAGCAAAAATTGCAAGAATTCCTGAAAATTGCAAAAATCGCGAAAATTCCTGAAAATTACTAGAAATTTCAAAAATCGCAAAAATTCCTGAAAATCGCCAAAATAGCAAAAATTGCTGGAATTAAAAATTCCTGAAAATTGCAAAAATTCCTGAAAATTGCAAAAATTCCGGGAAATTGTGAAAATTCCTGAATTCCTGAAAATTGCAAAAATCGCAAAAATGCCAGAAAATTGCAAAAATCGCAAAAATGCCTGAAAATAGCAAAAATTGCGAAAATTCCTGAAAATTGCAAAAATTGCAAAAATTACGGAAAATTGCAAAAATTGCAAAAATTCCTGAAAATTGCAAAAATCGCAAAAATTCCTGAAAATTTTCAAAATTGCAAAAATTTCTTGAAATTGCAGAAATTTTAAAAATTCCTGAAAATTGCAAACATTCCTGAAAATTGCAAACATTCCTGAAAATTGCAATAATTGAAAAAATTCCGAAAAATTGTAAAAATTCATTAAAATTCCTGAAAATTGCAAAAATCGCAAAAATGCCTGAAAATTTTGTTGAATTCGGTTATATTTATTTGCTATCAACCCTTTCAAGGTAATCCGGTATACTGTAATTTAATGTAGATATTGTACCTAATTTCCGAAAATGTAGGTTTTTCGATCTTGTCCATGGGTAATCCTTCAAGTTGGGAAAGTAGGATATATGAAAGTTGAGCAAGCCATGGTTGGTTCAGTTCATTGTACCAGTATATCACCTGACGAAGCTACTGATGTGTTAGCGAAACATGTGCATTTTGTGGAAATCTTATCGTTTGTGAAGTTTTTACATTTCCCTCATAAATCGATATGGGCGGACTAAAATTCTTTCTCATCGTGACAATACGACGTCACTGAGTGCTCTATTTTCACAGAGGGTTGTCTATCCAGAGCGTGCAATTATCTCTTCCATCATTGTTCCAGGTGCGCCGCACCGTGCCAGGCGCCGAGCGCAAACTCCTCGAGCACCAGCACCTCTCCAGCGAGTACCTCGTGCCGCTGCAGTACGACGCGCCGCCCGTTGAGCGTCGCGACGCCGCCCACGCGCCCACCAAGACGCCGCCCGACGTGTGCACCACCAACCAGGGCAGGGGCTTCGGGGCGGACGAGCTGGACAGGGCGTGCGTGCTAGCCGGCATCGTGGACACCGGGTATGTTTGCACCATTTAGTCCAGTCATTATAGACTTTGACCCGTGAATAATTTTTTAGTGGTTTTTTTCTTCATAGGTGTCTCGGGGGGGTCACTGGAAGTGTAAATTCAAAATGGCGACCAAATCAAGCTTTTGCGTATGTTCGAAAACTGTTTTTTTTTTGTTAAAAAACGGTTTTTCTTGAATAACTCGGCCATTTTTGATTCTACAGAAAAAGTTTGTGGACAAAAATTGTAGTAAATTTGGTTCTCTACAAGTTTGGTCCTCACAATTTTTCTGATAGAATCGATATTTTGTAAATTAAACCTGAAAAAAGCGACAAATTCGAAATATTTTCATTATCTCGTTTATTTTCAACTTTACGACATAAATGAAGAGGACTCAACTTGTGGAGAATCAAATTCTAAACAATTTTGGTCACCACGTTTTTGTTCCAAAAATCGATATTTTGGGAATTAAACCTGAAAAACGCGACAAATTCAAAAGATTATCATTATCTCCAAAGCTTCGCATTTTACGGCATAAATGAAGAGGTTATTCCGCGCAGGTAGCTTGTCTGTCATGTCGGTGTGAAAAAATGGTTCCGGAACTATTTTTTTACCAAATTTGTCCAAAATTTGATTCTCTACAAGTTTGTTTCTTCTCATTTATGATGTAAAGTTGACAATAAACGAGATAATGATGATATTTCGAATGAGTCGTTTTTTTTAGGTTTAATTCCGAAAATATCGATTTTCGGAAAAACAGGTGGAAACAAAATTTGTCCAAAATTTGATTCTCTACAAGTTTGTTTCTGTTCATTTATGCCGTAAAGTTGAAAATAAACGAGATAATTTATTTTCAACTTTATGGCATAAATGAAGAGGACTCAACTTGTGGAGAATCAAATTCTAAACAATTTTGGTTACTACGTTTTTGTTCCAAAAATCGATATTTTGGGAATTAAACCTGAAAAACGCGACAAATTCAAAAGATTATCATTATCTCCAAAGCTTCGCATTTTACGGCATAAATAGAGAGGTTATTCCGCGCAGGTAGCTTGTCTGTCATGTCGGTGTGAAAATATGGTTCCGGAACTATCTTTTTACCAAATTCGTCCAAAATTTGATTCTCTACAAGTTTGTTTCTTCTCATTTATGATGTAAAGTTGAGAATAAACGAGATAATGATGATATTTCGAATGAGTCGTTTTTTTTTAGGTTTAATTCCGAAAATATCGATTTTCGGAAAAACAGTTGGAGACAAAATTTGTCCAAAATTTGATTCTCTACAAGTTTGTTTCTGTTCATTTATGCCGTAAAGTTGAAAATAAACGAGATAATGAAAATATTTCGAATTGGTCGCTTTTTTCAGGTTTAATTTACAAAATATCGATCCTATCAGAAAAATTGTTAGGACCGAACTTGTAGAGAACTAAATTTACTACAATTTTTGTCCCCAAACTTTTTCTGTAGAATCAAAAATGGCCGAGTTATTCAAGAAAAACCGTTTTTTGACAAAAAAACATTCGCAAAAGCTTGATTTGGTCGCCATTTTGAATTTACACTCCCAGTGACCCCCCCGAGACACCTATGAAAAAAAAACACTAAAAAATTATTCACGGGTAAGGTCCGTTATTTGGATATAATGACTGGACTAATTAGTTCGCATTGGAGAGGGGTCACACTATAGAAAACATATATACTAATCTATACCTGTTCCTGAGAGCCAAACCGAGGTATTAACTCACAAAAATCAAATTTTACAGCAGAGCAATTTGAAAGTTTTTGTAGACATTGAGTTGACATAAAATATGTATTTAATACCAATCAGTAGGACTTAATACTATACTCCATGAAAAAAAGCGAGTGTCGTTTAGTAGGAAGAAAACTTGATCCCGATTTGAGAAGAAATGGAGTTAATACAGTTTGGCTCTCAGGTACAGATATACTGATAATAAAGGGCTTTCACGCTGAGTTGATAGTTGCGCAATACTTGGTAACAGAGTCGTGCCAAAACTGCACATCGAAAAATACTAGTAACTTTCGAAATGGTTTCTCTTTCAGTGTAATATAAAATATTTATGTTCATGATATTGCTTCAACAGGACGAATTCGTTGAAAATGCTGCAATATCAGCTTGTTGAACCAGGGTTTCGGAAGTGGTGAAGCATATGCTAAGGAAACTTGGGAAAAAACATGGCGGAGACCGTCCCAGTCTCCTGAGGTGCATACAAGACGTGGAGGTGCTGGTGTAGTTGATGGTATGAAAAATGGGCAGGTTGCGGAGATAATTGTGTGATCAGAATCGCCAAGTGAAGCTCGTACATCCATGGTGTGAGGTGCTGAATTATTAGTGAGGAATGAGTCGAGTGTGTTAGCAGAATGGTTATTGGCATCGGGAATTCCTTGATAAGTTGCTCGAAGCCGTGAGTGATGGCGAAAGCTTCGGCTTGTCGCCCAGCTTTATCCGTTCTGTTGGAGCATTATCGTTCTGGATGACAACCTAGTTAGGTTGTTAGTATTATACCTCCTCGCACTAGATCGCCTACTAGGTTTTCATTGAGATCGACAATGGTTGGAGTGTACGAGCCAGGCAGTGTTATTGTGTTCATTGAAATCGGCCATGATGATCTCTTCAGAGCTGCGGATGAAAATAGTTTGATGTGCTTTGACACTCTCGATCAGGAATTTTGTGCAGTAAATCTATGTTCTTGTCCTTCTGTATTGACGCAGTATCACTCGTGAGAAATTATATCTCAAAGATGGTATCTTCTCTGAAAATTTCACATATCTTCAAAGGCGTCCTACAGGGCTCAATTCATGAACCATTACAATTGAGTCTCAGATTTGATCCTTCTCTCAAAAAGCTTTTTCTGAAGATGCTAACATAGTTATTGGAGGCGTCAAAGAAACTGTTTGGTCAGTGGTAGAACAGTGCACATTGAGCATTTCCATTCGACATATTCATCGTTCATCCAGATAAAGTTCTCAATACTCAGTAATTGGAAGCTTCGACTTCAATTCGGCATATTTTAATGATGGGTGCTAACATATTCTATATTGTCCACCAGATCGCGCTACTGAGACGTGAGGTCAGAGTTGATAGAACTGATAGGTAAACTTCTTCTCATCGTGTCATTTGAGTTCTTCCTATAATATCTTCTTCAGAATATTTCCAATATATCAGCCTTAAGGACTATCTAGCAAAAATTCGGTGCTCTTGACTTTGATATGGATCTCACACTGTAGGTAGACCTTATGCTCCAGTAACGTCAACTAGTGTGACTGAAAATACGTCGAGATACGCCTATGTGGCTAGGATTCATGAATGTAACAGGTCTTGTATGCGCTTGCTTCATGGTGTCCAGTTCGATCACATGAGCTTCTGACTAATGGTATTAGCGGTCTAGATAGTGAATTGAGTCGGTGGTTTCTAGGAACGAAGTATAGTTTTGTATTTCTTACTGCATCTACCTCCATTTCTAGATCTCCATGTTTCTACTGGATATCTGTTTCAGATATCTTCATTCTGAGTAACCTTTTCCATCATCGGAAGCATTTGAGTTTCATTGAGTCGGGTGAAAATTTCGATATCGAAAAGATACATCAATATCAAGTTTATTCAGAAAGTCGAAATTCATATCGAGGTATATAAACATGATGAGAACAAAATGAATACCCCAATTAGCGTACCTTTGAAGGCTCAGATTAAAACAGCTTAAAACTGAGCTTCCTGCTATCAGTTTGCCAATCTCGATGTTCAACGTTCGTGTTTTGTCTCTCATCTTATAAAATCTCTCGAAATAATTAAAATAGCATATTTATTTCAGTTTGTTAATTTCCACTTTGAGATACAGTATTATGATTTATTCAAATGAGAGTTTATGTTGACATTTAATATGCTCTTCCTTCAGGAAAATAAAGTGAATTTGTTTCTAGAATTTACAAGATGAATAAATATACCTATATTAACTTTCAGCGAATGAATGAAATTCGGAAGATTCACTCCAGATTGAATGATTTTTGTATAATCTGTTCAGTTGATGAATGATTAAATGATAATGATACTAATTATAGTTATTTATTATACAAGGGAAAAAGTTGTAGATTTTAGCTCCAGGTTGTGTTGTCTCCCGACGCGTAGCGGGAGACAAAAAACCGTGAGCTAAAATCTAATATTTTTCCCGTGTATAATACACTATTTTTTTCTGTGACAGAAGAATGGACGAATCGATATTGAGAAGATATTACATTATTTTGAAATCTGAAAATTATCGACGTGAAATTTTAAGTTTTTTAACAGTAGGGACACCTGCGTTGCAGGCATCTTGATCATTCTTTTGAAGTAATAAAATATCTGATGTCACTTCTGTCAGTCTAATTCTGTGATTTGATTTCAAAAAATTGCGAATCTAGTGATTGTTTAGTAATATACGTAACCGCGAAGTCGAATGGAAGATAAAAGGACTTGCAGTTCTTTCTCGGAGACGGTATTGTTGATTCATTTTTCGGAACTATAGCACGATGAAAGCCATCAACAGTGAATATATATGTGATATATTCGGGAAAAAAGTACTCACTTTTTTCCCACGGAAAAAAAGTAATTCATGAAAAGTGAAATTTCATAACCTGCCAACAGGGATGGAATGCCAAACTTTTCAAACATACTTAGTGTTTCGTTGTTCTTTGTAGAATAATTCCTCTCTGGCTGATGATGGACACTTTTTGAGTCCGAAACATGTCCCCCCCTTCTTGAATTTAGAATTGAACGTTGTGGAGACGACTTGGGGAGTTTTTATTATATTTTAATGACAATATCTTTTTGTTGCAGGTATAACGTTGCTCAGACCTTGGCAGGTCAAACCATTCCTATTACCATTAAGAACCACAATTCCACAGCTCCCCTGTCCTTCTCCAACGTGCCCATGAAGTACGGTACCATGCAGCTGGAGTCCCCATCCACCCTACAGTGCACCAGCACCCTGCATCAGGGGTTTTTAGGGGTGACTGACTTGGGCAGCTCGAGCTCGACCAGCTCTAGCGGGTACTGCGGTAGGAGTAAGACTCTGGGATACAAGAACAAGAAGAAGTGCGAGAAATCGGAGGCTTTCCAGGGGCCAGAGACGAGTTTCGCGGATTTCGGGAAGCGAACTACCAACGAGTTTAGTTTTTCCGGTAGTGCTGTGTGACTGAGTGGTGCGAGGACATTCTTGGAATTGGTTGTGGTTATCGAATGGTGTTTGCCTAAGTTGTGTGATTTTGTGACTGTTGCTGTTGAACTTAACAGTCTGAGAGCCAGCGATGGGCAGACATACGGTACGTTAACAAACTCCATATTGATTTTAGGTATACTATTACACCTGCCGTAGGTGAAATGGAAATCCACTATCCCCGTCGACGGATCCTTTGGGCGTATACAGAGGTCATGAAACGTCAGTTTTTTTTCGAAAACGCGATCGCAGTATATCTGCCCTTTCAATATCTCAAAGTATTCCTTTTTCATTGAAAAATTCAATGGCAGACACTTCTTCTCGTTCCAATTTTATGAAAAATTGAGATCCTTGAGAAGTGAGACAAAATGTAATTTTTCAGAACTGAAAATTCTCTAGGAAAACTATGTGAATTCGGCGTTCTGATTCCGAATCCAAAGTGATTTTCAACCTATTTTGACTCCTAATATAATTTTCCGGAAATTGGGGTGGTTCCATGGCTGTTGGCGATCAGTGTATATCACTGAAGATGACCCCACTTGGTCATGGAGTACATTTTTGGTATATCTCTCGCTCCAGCATATTTCAGGAACCTCACCCAACGATTACGTGAGATACAGGGGTGTCTCCATCAGAAGTGGGTCACACTGTATATAGGGTGTCCCAAAATTGCTGGGACACAGAGCTACCACGTGTAGGGGAGGTCAAAATAAGTTGATTGGACCCAATTCATTCATGTGGCAAAATATACATTTTGTCCGTGAGAAAAGTTCAAAGTTCACATAAAAAAACACATTTTTAATACTAATACGGCTCTGAAACTTTTTTGGTTGAAGACTAATCATCTTATTACTCATGTAAAAATTCCGTATACCGCATAGTTTCGAAGAAAAACAATTTTTTCTCAAATAATGCTACCTATGGTACGAGTTCAATTGAATTGTGATATAAAACTTAGTTGGCAGTGGAAACAAAAGAACATCGTCGTTGTCTCGTAGTGCGTCAACGGCATTTTGGATTCTGTTCCACAGCTGTTCGGAAGTATCAATTGGAACTTCATGCACTTGTGTTAAACGCTCCTCTGATGAAGAAGTCGCACGGATTCAAGTCTGGAGACCGTGGAGGCCATTGAATAGGTGCTTCTTGTCCCCTACCAATCCATCTATCTGGAAATTGTTTCATTCTCTATTCATAGAAATGGTGAGAATATTTCTATAGCATATTCGTCATGAGACAAATACTCATTATTGACCAATTCGATCACACACAGACCAAGTTCGATAATTAAACTGTAAAAAATCAGAAAATGCCTGATTATTCATATTTGACTAAGTGAAGAGCAGTGGTGGCAGCAGAGTTCAACCCATCTTACTTAGTTGAAGTTATTTCGCCAGAATAAGTGTCTGCCTATGAATTTTTCAATAAAAAAAATATGTATAGGTACATCAGGGTATTAAAAGGGCATACATGCTGCGATCATGTTCTTGAAGTAATTTTTAACGTTTTTCTACTTCTGTATACGCCCAATGGAACCGTCTACGGGAATAGTGAATCTCCATTTCATTTACGGCAAGTGAAATAGTATACCTAGGATCAATATAGAGTTCGCTATCATGCCGTAAGACTTCCGATCGCTGGCTCCCAGTCTATAAAGGAAAGAGAATGGTTCCACCTCGAAACAACAAACCCAACAATAATTAGTATCTTCGTATAATAATTGTTCCATTATTTCATTTCTCCTCATAGTGATGATAATGATGGAAATAAGATATGGTGCGCGTATTCGGCCATTATTACGTATTGAAAATTTCAGAAAAATCACTCGACCGCCTATTATGATTTCTCTACGTCACAACGAGCGAGACGTTGATTCTACATTTTCCCGCTAGATGGTGACGCTGCTATTGCTGCTGTGACGAGTGGAAATAAAATAGCATTTTAGGTACGCGGAACATATGTGGGATTATTCAACTCTGAGTTCGAAAAATCTGCGACAATTTCAAAACTGACAGATGTCATAATTGTGCAATGTCGCCATCTATTAGAAGATCGACGGAACCATTGCTCTCGCTGTTCTCGAGAGGTCGAGTAAAATTTCTGAAACAAAGGCGCATCAGTTATTACACCATATCTTACTTCCATCATTGTGATGATGTTATAGTACGGAACATTTGGATTATTCTTGCTCTCGTAAAAGATGACCGGCGGAAATAATGTGAGCCCCAAGCAAAATATAAATGTTGCGATGATCAACTCATTGTCAATAATTTAAAAACGAAATTCCAAGCGCTGGCTAGAAATGGTGGTACCTATGTCTTATCGTTCACCGAATGGGGAAGTTACCTTCAGATAAATTTTCATGAAATAAGTTCGAAACTTCCCAGATTCTTCTTCTTAGATTCCATCCAGAGAAGAGCCATTCGCCTGGTGGGTGACGCCACACTCACTCACTCTTTGTCATCATTGGAACCCCGTAGAAAGGTCGGCGACCTTTCACATTTCTATCAATACTTCCACGGGAAATGTTTTTCGGAAATCTCCCTTCACTAGCAATACCAGTCAGACGAACTAGACAAGCCCAGTCAGCACATCCTTTCGTTGTCAACCTCGAAAGATGTCGAACAGCAATTTAAGTATTCCGAACAACATAATATTATAATCTCCAGAAGTTCAAAAAAAATTCCAATGCCTACCTCATGTCCCTATCCTCCCTAGGAACGCACGATGTTCTTTGAACATTCTAGGGATTTCCTTTCGTACGCTCCAAGCGATAAAAAAAATCCTCTTCCTTTCGTCCCCGGTCATCTTTGGTGAGTCGAAATAATGAATATCTCATCATTTCAAGAATATTCCTTCAAATTATAATTTATGAAAATGACCGTGTACATATTTGCAACAAAATCATTCAGGGTATTAATTTAAAATTGTTCAACTTCAAAATATCATTGTTGACAAATTGTCACATTTTGATGGAAACGATTTTATTTTTTCAGTCAGTAATCCTAAATAGGCCATTAAGATTCTGTACTGCTTTTTTTGATATCGAAACTAATGCATAACGAGTTCTCTATCTAATAATCGAATCGAATGAAGGTGATTTGTTTCACAATAAAATCTTTCTATCAATGGTACCTATCCGCTAATGGATTTCTTGTCATTGAATAGCAAATTCAAAATTCAATATATGCATCATGCACTATATGTTCGTCTTTGATGTTCAATTCAGGCAAATTGTAAAATGATACCGGGTGACCAGTTATATTCTGACCCATTTCAACTGCTCATATCTCCAAAACTATTCAAATTATCGTTGTGCGGTTTGGACTTCTCTATTTTGATATTCTTCAAGTTTTTTGACTGGTTCACCTTTTCACCTGAACTTCCGGTTCTACCGGAAACAAACAAGCCATTATTCAGGTATAGGGCAACTTTGATAAAATTGCATAATCTCATTTAACTATTCCACAAGCAGTAGTTGTTTCAAAGAGTTATAACTCTAATAGTTATCTAGGAGAACATAACTTGTAATACATTGTTAGATAGGGAAGAGACCAGTCTTTCTGAATGTGCAAAAATATACAGGGTGATTCAATGAAATAAAAAAGTTGCCCTATACCTGGATTATTGCTTGTTTGTTTCCGGTAGAACCGGAAGTTCAAGTGAAAAGATGAACACGTCAAAAAAAACTTGAAAAACATCAAAATAGACTAGTCCAAACCGCACAGCGATAACCTGAATGGTTTCAGAGATATGAGCATTTGAATATAACTAGTCACCCGGTATTTATTTCTGTTATTTGACGAGGTTTTATTAGGTTATGATATTCATGTAAGTATTCCAAATAACATTGTTTGGAATTAAGGCAAAATATTTTTCCCGATTCAAATGTACCTAATTCAAATTCCCTTTTTATGGAGAACTTGAAGTAAGTATTCGACTTCGGAAATGGAATTTTGGAATGTTTACTTTCTGATTTTCGGTGTCACAAAACCAATCAGAGGACATTCTCAAAGTGATTCAATATGATTATATGAACCAAGGGTGATGAAGGATATCATCAGGGCTGAAACTGGATGATTTTTCATACGTAATCCTCAATTTCTGATATTTTCGTCTCAACCACATCTATTGATAACATTGTGCATAGGTACTACTATAACTTCGATGAAATTTGAATTTTTCCCGGGATAATTGAATCATTATCTGAATTGACTACGAAATTTATGTCATCAAACTGCCCTGGATGTACACAAGATTGTTTCAATTTATTTGTTGTATCACTCCGTATTGAGAATGGACTTCTTATCCTCAGTAAAAAACTCGTAAAGTGAACATATAGGTAAACCACAAAAAATTCATCATTCGTATTGCATTCCTCAGTAGTGTTCAACGAGTCGCGAAGTAAACAATATCGTGTTTTCGATCAATGATTTGTATATCGAAGAAGCAACCCAGTGGCGTGTTAAGTTTTCATTTCTATAAGGGTTTCGTGTCGTTATTCGTTGTGTGAGACTAGCTTGATAACGTATCATGCTCAAATCAACGATGATGATAGAGTGGCTTCAACATCAGCAGTTTGAACTAATGTAAGTGATTTCTAGCTAAAGCTGAATGATTGCATTCATTTCTTCCAATAAAAATTTCAACTCTCTGAAACAAATTCATTCAGAAGATATTAGGATTTTTCACACGGTGCAAGTATCTATCAGTTACATAATTTGGTAAAACTGCATTTATCATGCGATGGGTTTTTACTTCGAAATTGTTTTTCGCTACTTACGTATTTTTGTCTGAAGAACACGAATTTGATAATAAAAATGTGAACACACCATCATTTATCAAGAAATTCCACTATAAAGTTACGAATTTCACCTTCTTCTCCATCTTTTGCATCGCATTCAGAACAATTAGTCCTTCTTCTTTCATTGGACAATTTATATATCACAATGTACTTCAATGACACAGTATTTCTATTACAT